AGACCTGGGCAGGAACCTCCAGGGGTCCCCATCTGTGAGGACTGCAAAGAAGCTCAGCCCCAAGAAAGGGATTGTGGGCTGAACTATGTCTCCCCAGTATGTTGAAGTCCCAACCTGCAATATCTCAGAATGTGACTCCATTTGGAGGTACAATCCTTAAAGAGGTAATTAAGTTAAAATGAGATCAGTTAGGATGGGCCCAAATCTCACCTGTATGACTACTGTCCTTATAAGAAGAGGGAATTCAGACAGAGTCACACATAGAGGGCGAACACCAGGTGAGCATGAAGACACCATCTGCAAGCCAAAGAGAGAACCCTCCGAAGAAAACAGCCCTGCTGGCACTGTGAGCTTGGATTTCTAGCCTCTAGAACTATGAGAAAAAAAAAAATTCCTATTGTTTAAGCCACCCAGTCGGTGGTGCTTGTTGTGGCACCCCTAACGGACTAATACAAGAAGAAAGAGGAGGATGAGTGGTATCCCAGACGACAAGAAATGAGAATGCAAGTAGGAGAGGTTGTCCGGGTGTTTAATAGATGCTGAGAGTTGAAGGAAAATGAAGACCGAGGTGTGTCTCTTGGAAAGACCTGGAGAGAATGGTCTCAGTGGAGTGTGGTCATGGCCACAGATTTCCATGGGTTGAGAACTTAGCAGGACTCCCACTGACTGCCAGGATCACATGGGGGTCAAGGGAGGGCTTTAGGAGGGAGACTCTTGGGCGGGTCAGCGCTCTAAAGGATGAGAGTGAAAGAGAGTGTGAAGGCAGGAAAGGGGAAGAACCACCCAGAAGTGAGGTCCCCAGGGTGGCAGGGAATGGTAACAAGGGGAGGAGAGAACAGGTTGGATACAGGAGGTGTGGGTCTAAGGGCGGGAAGCTGGTGGGGCATGGAGGCTAGCTTCCCTGGCCCCTCCAGATCCACCCTGCAACCTTCTCCACCCACAGGCCGTCCCAGGAGGCTGACTCATACAGACTTGCTCTCTGGCTTCCGCCACTGGGAGTTACCGGAAGGAGACTGGAGGATCAGAGGAGAGCGAGACTGGAGCTTTCCCCTCCGAACCCCCTGCAGTCTGTGGGCCTTGTGCTCCTGAAGTCCATAGCTCCTGTTTGGGGCTCCCTCCATCCAACTGTCCTCTTAGGCTCTGGCACTTGCTCCTGCGCTTGCTTGGCCTCTTCAGGCCTGAAGGCCACATGGGTTCCCAACTGTTGCTAGTCCTGGGGTCCTGCAACATCTCTTGTTGGTTTCCCAAAAGGTGTTAATTCTCCTTTATTTAACTCTCCTCAAAGTGCTCCATTTGAAGAGACCATCTCTTTCCACTGGGCCCCTGGCTGATACGAAGGTGCTCCCTTCTAGTGCTTCTAGATGGAAGTAAGTTCCTCTGCTGAGGGTAAGGGGGAAAGGGGTTTGGGGGAGAACCTTGGGGAGAGGTTTGAGACACCCCATGGAGAACAGGAATGGACCTATAAATGGGGTGAAATCTCAGCGGAGGGGGGCCATGTAGCTCACTGGTCCGATGGTCTCACGGATTCAGTTGCCAGGGCAGGTGGGAAAACAGGTTCAAGCAAGTGTGTGGTTTCTCCAGGCACAACTAAGGAATGGCAGGACCAGGGGATGTCAGAGAGAGGATGGAGGGGCCGTGAGGTGAGAGCACGGATGGAGAGGAAAATCATGTGAGTGACAGGAAAGAGCATGGGGTCTGACAGGAACAGACATCTGAACGTGGGATCGGAAAGCAGGTGGGATTCTGGGCTCTGATTTGCCCAAAGAGTGGGTGGTGGTGAGGGACAAAGGGGGTGAGAGGTTGGGGTGTTGGATGGGTTGTCCGTGTAGACCCTCAGGTTTTAAGAGGAGCTTCAGGATGTCTGGGAGGACCAGGGGCCAGGAGCCACAGTCTTTGACAAATGAGGGGGCTTACTGGGACCTGCAGTCAGTCACCCACACACGCCCCCATGGTCATAGTCACATGCAGCACGCCCACAGCCCCACCAGACACTCCCAGACACCCTCGCACGCACTCACCCTCACACGCGCCCCAGACAGCAGATGGGGCGCTCGGTAATTGGTTAAACCTGTTCCCGATGTCTGGCTCCGCTCTGGCAGCGCCTGTCTGACGGGAAAGCTGGCTGGGCCCCGCACCGCTCAGCCTGCTGGCCTCCTTGCCCCTCCCCGGGGGGCTGCCCTGCACAGCGCCCCCAGAGAGGCCGGTGGGGCCCGGCCCGGCTCCCTTCCAGTTTATGAGTGAGGATTCCATGAAGCCCCACAGGAAGCGATCCCAGCACCAGTAGGGAGGAGCCCAACCATGGCTGCAGAGAGCTGAGGGACCAGGCCCGGAAAGTCCCAAGGATAAGGGGGCATGCCGAGATCACGCCCTGGACGGGAGGCACGCCGCACAGGCCACCAGGCTTGAGGACAGCTCCCTGCGTCCCCTCCGCCTCAGTCACATGCCCCTGGGGCTCTCAAGGTGCTGTCAGTAGGGGCCTGTGAGCCCATCGGCCCCGGAGGCCAGCCCGACCGAGGGCTGTGACTGAGTCAGCTTGCCCAGGGAAGGCCTGTTGAACGGCCCTGTCCGGCCGGCCAGCCTTGTCTTGATCCTCACCTCCGCAGGGCCCTGATCTCCAGGGGGAGGCGTGGTTGGGGGAGGGAAGGGAGCATCATTCCTCCCTGCTTCTCCCCTTCCCGCTGCATCTGTGTCTCTTCGAGAGAGACTTTGGTTTGTTCCCTGGAGAGGGCCCAAAAACTCCCAAATTAGCAAACCTGGCAAGCCCACAGCTCAGAAAATAGTTCATCCTGATTCCATGTTTTTCAGGCTCACAGAAGCCTTTATTAATGAAGTCACAACACCAATATTTACCGTCTGCGGGGAGAGGCACAACATGGGGCATGGATGGGAGTGCGCGGGGACTCCCGCCCCGCCCCCTGCAGGCCTGGCCCGGGAAGATTGGCAGGTTTCCTTGAGTCCTTTCCAGCCCTTTATGGGGATGACAGGGGTGCTCTGCTGTGATCTTCCTGCATCCCCTCCCCCACCAAGTGAGAGAGGAAGAGTTTACCCATTCCTCCACCCCTAGTGGGGCAAAAAAAAAACCAAAACAATGCCTCCTCTTCTTACCTTCACCCCACCTGCACATACATGCTCCCCAGAGGTTATCCTACCTGTCTGGGAGTGAGAGTTCACTGTGAGATTCAACTTAGACTTAACCCAGGTTAGGACTTTCAGGCTGTGAGGGAAGCATTTTCCTGGTTGATGTTTGGGAGGGAGGCATTGGGATGGAATGTGGCCCTTAGGTTTCTGGCATTGAGTGGACCCATGAGAGACACTGACAGGCCCCAGCAATAGGACCTTCTGTGCTTGGATCCCTTTGTGTGCCTCAAGCGACAAAGCTTGGCCTTTGACATCTTCTCAATGACTTCAACATTGATCAACCCCCCAGGACATTCTAGGTGCCAAGAATAGGATAAGGAAAGGCACAGCACAAGCAAAACCCCTAGCTCACTGGGCGACACAGATGACGTGGGTGAGACGGAGGCAGACGACACCAGGGGCGAAGGAGGAGAGGCCGAGGGTGGGAAAGAAGGGAGCACAGTGGGAGGCTTAGGACGGCGGCAGTGTGCTCCTATTTGGGCTTGAGGAAGAGAGCCCTAGGCACAGCACAGCTCCTTTGAAGTGGGCCTCATCCTGGATATCCACACAAAGCTCATTATGCCTCCCACTCCTCCCCTCCCCACCCAAACCCCTGGGATCCGTCTACACTGTTTCCCAAGGTAGAAGAAACCTTGGTTGGTGGCAAAGGTGGGCAGTCCTGGAGGAGAACAGGTTGGGTATGAGGTGCTGGGGGGCATGGGGTGCAGCAGGCAGCTTGCTCGTGGGTCTGCAGCTCAGCAGAGGTCAGCTGGTGGCATTGACCTGGAACCAAAGAGAAGGCCCAGGCAGAGGGCACAGTGAGGCAGGCAGGCGGGGCACGGACCCACCCTGGTGTGGACAGAGGGAGGCAGGCGGGGCACAGACCGACCCTGGGTGGACAGAGGTGACAGGATAGGGATAAGAGTGGGGAGGACTCAGAAAGGCAGGAAGAGGCATCAGAGGTACCGGAGTAAAGGCGGGGGGTGGGGGGTAGAGGGGAAGCCTAGGAGGGAATGGTCACAAGATGGAGAGCCAGATGGGAGGCGTTGAGTTTGGCCACAAGGGGGTGGCAGTAACCATGGTTGGTGACAGTCTTCAATATCCGCCCAGTGGTGAGGCAGAGGTGGGGAGCAGGGGGTGTGGAGCACGTGGGAGATGGAGAGGTAGAGGGCCGTCTGGCCATGGTCAGGGCCAGAGGTATTGGGTACAGGTTACAATTAGAGGTTTTCTCAGGATGAAGGAAACCTTGCTGTGTGACAAGCAGGAAAGACAAGTGAACCAACTGGAGGCAGATGAACCAGAGATCGGTGGGCCCTGCCTCGACCTCCTTCCCAGGCTGGAAGGCCCTAAGGCCCCAGGAACCAGTTGCAAGCTCGGCCTGCAGCCCTGTCTCTGAAGCTTTCATCCACCCAGGGGGGCTTTGCAGGGACAGGAGCACATCCTGGTGGGGCAGGACTTGGGGCAGAGTGGTCAGCCTCTGGGAAGGGTGCCCCCTCTACCCAGCCCCATTTTTCCCTTGACTGGAGGTCACCAGAGCTCCATGCATGGAGAAGTATGGATGCTCTCTCCTCCATGACCCACCTGGGCCTGATTCCCACCATTCATTAAGTTCCCACCATTCATTAAGTTCCCACCATTCATTAAGACTTGAGCACAGCCTCCCTCAGAACACAGGGTGTTCCTTCCCTACGGCTAACCTCAGTTTCTCTTGCTGTGGAGTTGGAGCTAGAGACCAGGGTCAAGCACCATCAAAAGAGAAGAGTCAGTGGATTGAGTCTCCAAGGCCCCGTCCGGATTCCCAGGTCCATTCCCCCTGTGGCTCTCAGAGCCAGAACCCACCACCCCAGGCTCACAGGCTCTGGGGTTAGAGCTGGATGCCCATGTCATTAAGAGAGAGACTTTTATTTTTCCCATAGGGAAGGGAGACACAAGGGGATCACTAAGAACTACAGTGGGTGCCTGCAAAATAAATTAAAACAGAAATGCGTCAAAACAAAAAGGAGATAAGAGAAATGGAGAGTGGCTGGGAGGCTGCGCTGCCCAGGTGGGCAGGCTCTCCAAGGAGAAGGTCGAGCAGTCCCGGGCCTCAGCCAGCCCATGTCTTGTCCTTCTGTCGGTGGCGGCCCCAGGCTCCGAGCCCTCCGGGGCCGTGACCTGAGGCCTCCACGCAGCCCGGCCAAGGAGTGGCCAGAGTCCTGCTGGGCCCCCCGGTGGGGGGGCCTGGCCAGCAGCGCGTGGCACTCTGCCCTGGTGGGGTTGCGGCTGCCCACCCTAGTCATTGGAGGTGACGTCGATGTCCTCCCCGTTGGCCTGCTTCGTGGCGATGCGCCACCGGTTGATGTGGTGGGAACCCTTCTTCTTCTGCTCCGACTCGGGCCCTTCCTCCTCCAGTTTCTGCCGCTTGTACTTTGTCCTCCGGTTCTGGAACCACACCTTCACCTGGGCCAGGGAGGGAGGGGCACAGGTGAGAAACGCCCAGGAAGCCCCCAGCAGCCACTCGGCCTTCCGGCTGGGCTGGGAGCAAGATGGGGGACCGAGACCAGGGTTGTCTCCTCTGGCTGGCGCCACCTGATGGGCCTGGAGGCCTTCCCTTCCAGATGCAAATGAGGGGGGCCAGGGCACCGCGGGCCTGAGACGGGCTGTTTTGCTGTCCCCTCAACAGAGGGGCGGAGAAGGCAATGGCACCCCACTCCAGTACTCTTGCCTGGAAAATCCCGTGGATGGAGGAGCCTGCTGGGCTACAGTCCCTGAGGTCGCGAAGACTCAGACACGACTGAGCGACTTCACTTTCACTTTTCACTTTCATGCATTGGAGAAGGACATGGCAACCCAGTCCAGTGTTCTTGCCTGGAGAATCCCAGGGGCGGGGGAGCCTGGTGGGCTGCCGTCTATGGGGTCGCACAGAGTCGGACACGACTGAAGCAGCCATCACATAGGTCTGGATGGCTGGGGTGAGCCCCACCCCTAGGGCAACCCCATGCTCAGAGGAGCACCACGAAGAGGCAGAGCGGACACAGCTACTTAACCGGGAGGCGCTGGCCCTGCCGAGGGCAGTGTCCAGGACAGCCGGAGCACTCTGAGGCCCACCGACCCTACTGCTCGAGGCTCTAGCACCTCATACCGTCTAGGTCAGTCTGTCTCACAGGAGGAGCCTGTCTTAGTAATCTCAGGTAGAATCCTCCATCCCGCCCCAGAGGTGGAGCTGGATGGGTGGGGAGTCCTGGATCCTTGGGTGGCTCCTCAGGGTAGTCTGGTCTGAAATCCACCAGTGGAGGCCTCATCCTCCTTACACGTCAGGGTGTCTGCATCCCCACTCAGTGCTCTGGACTTGCTGCCCCCACATCACCAGCCCTTGCAGCCCATCCAGATGTGGGAATAGGTCACACAAGGAATAGCTGGGAGAAATACCAGGGGACAGAAGTGAGCTCCTTCTTAAACACAGAGAGCCCCCCAGCTCATGCCAGGCAGTAAGAGCCTTGACAAGGGGAGGGGTCAGAGGCCAACAACTCTCCTGTGTGATGTGGAGGCAGGGTGGGCCCATGATGCTAAGCCCATCTCCTCCCGGAAGCTTCCCCAGACTGAGTCCCATATCTCATCATTCATCCCTTCTCCCTCCTCCTCCAGCATTTGCTCAGTGCCCAGCACACGACAGCCCTTAACATCCTCTCCTGCATGATCTGGGAGGATCGTCCTGGTCCTTAACTAGTTTTATAGTTTTATTTCTTGAGGACTGTGGAGAAAACGTTGCTTTGTCAGCTCCTCCTGACTACATAGTCCTTTTCTTGGCCTTGCAGCATCAGGCCAGACCAGATCACCTTCAGAGTTGGCAGGAGGGGCCGAGTGCTGATCATCTGCTGTGTTCGCTCCCCTCTCTGGACTTAAGTCCCTCATGCATAAGAGAGATGCTTTCTGGGGCCCTTTACAGCTTTAGGGCACCTTCTGGGCTTTTGTTCCACAGGATACCTGGGGAAGGTGGTGCCAAGGGGGCAGGGTTATAAGGCGTAGAGGGTTTCCTGAAATAATAAGCAAGTAGATAGGCTTCCCAGGTGGTGCAAGTGGTAAAGAATCCGCCTGCCAACGCAGGAGACATAAGAGATCAGGTTCGATCTCTGGGTTGGGAAAATCCCCTGGAGAAGGGCATGGCAACCCGCTCCAGAATTCTTGCCGGGAGAATCCCATGGACAGAGGAGCCTGGAGCACTACAGTTCATGGGGTCAAAGTACAGTTCATGGGGTCACACAGAGTCAGATACGACTGAAGCAACGAAGCACAGATGCAGACAATTGCAGTTGGAGTGACCCGCGGTGCCCACACAGGTGGTGAGCGGTTAGTCATGTGTGTGGAATAATGGTGAGCACCTCGCTGTGGCTACAGCAGTGACTACTAAGGGGAGAACCTTGAATCCTGGGGTGGGGGCAGCTAAAGGCAATCCGCAGAAACACTACACAGATCTGTCCTGCCCCCTGAGAATCGGTGAAAAGCACGGGCCTTAGCCACAACGCCAGGCAGGGGCAGACAAAGCTGGGCTGGCACGCAGGCCCAGGGAGCAGTTTCGTGCTCAGGATGCCCCGCCTTCCCATTTTGCAGACATTCCCCTCTGTCCCCTCCATGGAGCCCAACCCAACCCGGGCTTCCCCAACAGCCCACCCCGCCCAGGGCTTCCACGGCACCCTTGGTCCTTCCTGTAGGTTTCTGAGCAGTAGGGAAGGTGTGAGGACAGCCAGTGCTCAGTGCTACACAGAACAGACACACAGACAGGAAGACACACGGACACAGAACACACGGACAGGAAGAGACGACTGGCCTTGGTGGCTGGAGTGAGGGGAGGCCTCCTTCCTTCAGTTCCAGGGCTGGATTCTTGCCTGCATGTCCCAGCTCAGATAGATGGGGAAGATGGCAGATGCTCCAGGGGCAGGGCTTCTGGATTCCGTGCCCACCTTTCCTCAGGCACAGGGCTGGCTGGGCCCTGGGTGGTTCTCGGCACAACCGTTTGGCAGCCAGCCTGGCCCCTGCCCCCCACCCTGGAGCCCACTGTGACTGTGCCAGTCCGTAGGCGGGTGAGCTCGCCCAGCCTCCTGTGCAAGGCGTGTGTGTGACTCAGGCCTGGATGCAGGGCTGGGGCGGTATTCCTGAGAGCCCCAGAGGCTGGCTGAGGGCTAAGCATGGCCAGCCTGGTGATGCACGATCCAGGGCAGCACCAGGGACATGGGGCCCCTTTCCGCACCTTCTGCCTCCCCCAGGCATTCCCAAGTCTCCTTCCAGAAAGGAGACTCAACTTTAGTGGGATAGGCCTAGCCTGCTACCCTTGCCCAGCATCACTGGCCCAAAGAGTGAAAGCTTCAGTGGTGGAACTTGGGGCACAGAGTATGCTTTCACACCAGGGACAGCTTCCTGGCAAACCCAAATGAAAAGCAATTCTGAATATTTTCTCCATGAAAACTACGAGGGTCAAGGAGGCAGCTCTCTAGAAACGGGGACGAAAACTCTCTTCCCAGGCAGCCTGGCTATCTTCCGGAGAACAGCCTTGGGCTGAGTGTCCAGATGCTGTTTACAAAGACTGTAATAACAAGGGGATGCTCATGACTTAGTAATATCAGCGAAAACGGCAGGATGCACAGTTCGGGCACAGTGTGATCACAACCATGGGAAAACAAAGCCTATGCATGAGGAAAAAAGACTAGAAGGAAATGTACCCAAAGTGTGGGTGACTTGTCTTCTTTCCACTTTTCTGACTTTTCTTTAATGCTTACTTATAACAATTAATAGCAATTTTTTTATTTGGTAAAAGAAAAGGAACTGGGCCCCAGTGTGGTAAGAGTTAAGAATGACACCCCATGAACTTTCCGGTCCAGCCAGGCAAATCTGGGGTCATCCCAGAACTCCTTCTCTAGAGGACAGAAAACCTAGAAAGGAGTCAGGTTACATAACGTGGCTACCAGCTCAGTGGGAGAGGCCTTAGGAGGCTGTACTTGTCTGCACTGCCTCCCCCCAACACTGGCATGCTACTCACCTTTCTTTAAGCCCAAAGGCATACTTGGCTTTCTGACCAAGGAAGCCCTCACGCACCTCTGAACCCTCTGGGTTTGGAGAGAGGTTCCTTGTGGCCTTCTAAGTCCCTACCACACTCAAGTTCTCTCAGTTCTTCTGATAAACAAGATCCTTCCAAGAGTCTCCACTTTTGTCCAAGTTACACCACCGGGAACACTCTTATTTAGCCTTTGAAACTCTGTTCCCTTGGCCCTAGATGTGGCCCACTGCCTGTCTGCACTTCCTTAGTGCTTTCTCTGTCTCAGTGACTCCAGCAATGTATTAATTTGCTGAAACCTCTGTCTCCTCATCAGACAGTATGGGAACCTGGAGAACAAAAGTGGTGTGTTAGCTGGCTTTGGAGGCCCAGTGGGCATGTTTCAGGTATGTTCAGCTGGCAGGGCAGAGGTGAAGTGACTAAGCCCTATGCTCTAGGAAAGAGGCACCTTGTGCCAACCTGGAAAACAGGAGAAAATCAATGGTAGAGGGATTGGACTCTTAACTGGAAAAGGTGTTTGGAAATTGCTGACTGCTAGAGAAATGGGATCCTTTCTTGGCTTACTTCAATGGTCACTTCTATAAGAGGGTCAATTCCTAATTCTTTCAGCTGTGGATTGGATTAACCACTTCTAGGGGGAAGGTGGAAAGGAAGATCCATTGTTGAGGGGACAAGGGTCAGCTTGTATTAGGCTGACTGGTTGATTCAGGTGAAACTGGTATGGATAAATGAATACATGAAAGAATGAAGGTATTAAAGCATTAGTGGATCGATCACTGTATACACTGATGAATAAAGATGTGCATGAGTGAATGGACAAATGAACTTACAAACAAGCAAACTATAGGCTCCAGCCAATGTTTCAGACTACCTTTGAATGAACCAGATCCCTTCTTTTCCACCACTCCCTAGTCTTAGCCCATCCTATCTGGGCCCCTGCACACTTTCAGGTGAATACTTGTCCTCTCCTCAAAGAGTTCAAAAACCTCTATCCAAGGGCATTTGAGTCTTGTAACTTTGCTACAAGACGTTTCTCCTTATGTCCTACTATTACCTCTTCTGTTTTAATTTAAGCCTGTGTCCTTCTATTCTGTCACCCTCAGACACAGAGACACACCACTCTTTCTAGTCTGTCATCCTCAGACTAGACAGACGCTTGGAGACATTAATCATGCCACCCCTCAGCTTGCCTCCCTGCCCTCTCCACTGGGGATCCACTTCCTAACATTTGACCATGTGAACTGCTCCCACTCTCAAGGTCAAGCCCAATGCCATGCTAAGCTCACCCCTCACTCCCCCAAACTGAGGTTGCCTCTGGCTCCTCATCATCCAGAGTCCTAACTCTTCCTAGGCTTTCTGGTTTCCTCCTCTCTCAGTCCACCCTGGATGCTGTCACTCTCAGGGAGACTTCCTG